CTTCCGACTGTTTAGCTATATTATAATATTTTTATTTTTATACTACCATACCGTTTTTGCAGACCAGTCCAAAATAAAATATATAAAACGCATCCTGGATGTCGAACGTGGCAAAATCACGATGATACRATGTAATATCTTACGAGTTACGACCTTCAGTGTTCCGATCGTGAATTTTTTCTCGTAAATGTATTTATTTTTTTCACATTTTTCGCTTTTTTTCTTCGCCCTTAAACTCACAATAATATTGTAATATTATAATAGCTGGCAAGGATTTTCACATCATATTTTAACAACGAACCTCATCGCTACAGTATAATATATAATTATATTTATCTGCGTCCCCATCGACCAGTCCCGACTAAACCAATATGGCGACATGTCAATAAATTAGAATAATAAAATGGTTTCAATGCAGTTTATTTGCCATTTCTTCGGACGGCGACAATAATGCGACTAGACAGAATTTTTTTTACATACATGGAAAATCTGACAACAAGTTTAAACAAAACCTCTTTAATTATTGATTTTCTTTTTAAAAAAGCATATTACCGATAGGTATATTATGTATTTATGTATATTACATTTAATGGGAACATCACAATGCTCGGCGGATCGATATAGGTACCTACTAATTACTATTTTCGAATCAGGTCAATGTGAAAAAAAAAATCATTTCATTCCGTCAATATTCCACTCGAATATACWTCTATTATAAATTATAATAATAATATATCGGTTCGTTCTTTTCACGTGGCTGATTGATAACATATGCGTTTCGTTTTCAATCACGAGTCCAAGGTATGACGGAACTTTAATACAAATGATTTGGAATTAAAAAYAACAATAACAGTGTATTGCAATAATGATTTTTTTCCAATCGACAATTTAGAATAACTCCCATTTTTTCATAATAATTATATACATTCGTATTTTTCTATTCTACCGTCAAAATTAATGAGATGTCATATTTTACTTTTCGTAATAATGTATAATAATATCCTAATTGTAAAGAACGTAATGCGTTTTCTTGGAATTCATTTTCTATCAGTATTTTTATTTTTTGAACGGAAAATGTCATCCAAATTAATGTAAWWMCYT